CATTCATGCAGTCCGTAGTTGAGCATATTGAACTGTATGGAGAACTAAAGGCTCCTATGAGAGGTGTAACTACCGTAGCATTCAACACGAGTGGCGAGCATCTTATGTCAGGTGCTGACGAGCAACAAATAATGCTATGGGATTGGGCACCAAAGAAACTCATATCTTCATATCCATCTGGCCACAAGGACGCGATACTCCAGGCCAAGTTTGTGCCGTTCTCTAACGACCGCAAAATAGTAACTTCATCCGCAGATCACCAGGTAATAATTAATTCAATTTAGGCAAAAATGAATCACAATAAATGCCAAAATCCACTATATTGTATTGAGTGATACTTTTCGAGACTGCAGTGGATGCACGAATATAAATCGTAAAATTATATCTTTAATCCCTTATTTTTTTACTAACCAATACAATTAGTTTCATCTAAAAAGTAACGATGTTTGACTAACTAGCTTATTAGACCTTACTTGGATTGAATGTAGTAAAGTCGGGGTGAATCTTCTTTGAGTATGTGGCCCTCTTATTATACCCAGATAACTCTATAATCTATGGCATCTGTTTCTTACATTTTAATCAATTTCTCTACTACAGGTCAGGCTTATCCTTGCCTGGGAGAGTGGTTCAGCTGCAAACATGGAATTATCCAAGCACCATGGCTGTGTTCACGGTCTTGCCGTGGTACCTCGTTCTCCTCACGTAATTTACAGCTGTGGGGTAGATAGCTATGTCCTTCGTGTAAGCTTCTAGCCTTTTTTGCTAAACTTTTAATTTAAAAGGGTTAATTAATTGTTAGAAAACTTTTGAGGTTCAGTCTAATTACTAAAACACTCGGTAATCTTTTCAAATCATATTTTTTTTTAAAAAAAAAATGCATATATCTCCTTCTTACTTGAATTTTGCGCAGCACGACCTACGTGTGGGCTCCACCTCCAAGATTTTGCATTGCGCGTCGATTATAACCAAGTTAGGGGTTAGGCTGTTTTCTATCGACATCGACCCACGAAACCCGCACTACTTTTCCATCGGGGGAGATGATCCTTTTGCTCGTGTTTATGACATCCGAAAGTTCGGCTCATCCACGAACAAGAGTTCCCCTGCCTACATCTTCTACCCCCATGTTATGGCCTCGTTCAACAATCCCTACATCACTGCATTGGCCTACTCGAGGAAGAGCGAGCTTCTTGTCTCGTACAACGACGACTCAATTCATCTCTTCCGGAATAATGTGGGCCCGTGCCTGAGCCCGGATGACGAGCAAGTTTACTTGGGCCACCGAAACTCTCAAACGATCAAGGGAGTGGGCTTTTTCGGCCCGGATGACGCGTATGTCGTGAGCGGGTCGGATTGCGGCCGGGTTTTTTTTTGGATGAAAAAAAGCGGTGAAATTGTTCGTGCGGTGGTTGGTGATGTGGATACGGTTAAACAGGCGGTGGGCCATCCCTCGATTCCCGTGCTCGCCACTTGTGGGATGGAGAGTAGTGCCAAGATTTGGGGGCCCACGTCGAATTCCAAAGCCCCTCTGCCCGAGCCTTTGGTAATGCTCGATTTTTTTTTTTTCATTATTTATTTTATTTTTTTCATTGGTCTCGAGTCTAACGAGTTCGTGGACAGGTGGTGAAGCAGTGGAGGTCCGATTACTTTGCGTCTAACGACGATGAACGAGATGTGGAGGATACTTACGAAGGGTATCAGGACTCGGATTCGAGCTAACTCTACCATTTGGAACGTCGATTTGGAACTTGTGTAGTTAGTTAAAAACTATACAAACCGTTTGGTTTTTTTCGCCTATACGTAAATACATGCATACGTGTATAGATACGTACGTACATATTCTGCGTACGTACATTGATGAATATATACATATACGTATTGTTGTTTGTACTCCGTATATGTTGTGTGAGTGCTATTGTTGGAATTTTTGAAGTACTTTTTGGCAAATGTTGAGCTTGGCAAACTTTTCAAGCATTACATTTTGAGTAAATAGTTTGAAGTCTGAAGTATATGTATTTGTTCAATAACCCGAATAAAATTTCATTTGTGCTATACCCCATTGCAAAATATGTAATTTTTTGCGAAATACCGCGTATGGGGATGATAATAAATAATTGTAGTAAGGTGTAAAAGTTTGATCATAAGGTGCATGTTGCCTTCTAAGCAAGGTGTGAACAAGATAATTATATTTGGATTTATTGGAGAAATACGCTAACTTCGAGAATTAAATGTTTGATAATTGATTTAGATTATATATTTATTTAAAGTATTTATAAGTTTAATATATATACTTCATCATTTGTTTTTAGTAATATAACATTTAATAAAAATAATAAAGAATATCTAGAGGATATTCCTTTTGGTAGGATGATGAAATCGTATTAGTTGCATCTCCATACTTTGTATTCCCGAAAACTTCTCTAAATGATAACTTTATTTCAACAAGCAATCTGTAAGATCACTTACGTTATGTACTTCAATCAACATTCAAAAACTGTCGATTCAGTTTCTAAACAATTTTGGCAAAGGTACAACAACACAGACAAACCTCATTTTAAGATGATGATGACCACACACAACATTGCAAAGTTAATAGCACAAAAATAGTCGACTAATATTATTTGAAGGTGATGACCAAATATCAATAACGGTAGCAATAGGCATCAAATTTCCAGACCCATGAAAAGTCGCAATTGAAAAGATCAAACAATGCCACAATACATTCCATCTAAAAATAGCAAAAGTACATAAATTTCACAAAAAATCAGCCATCACTCTTCATTTCATGCTTCACCCCAATGTTAAGCTCCTTATGCNCCCAACTCAGAGAGCTTCAGGTGAGACTCGGCATAATCAGCAAAGAAAGCATCCTCATCCTAAAACAAAAAACAACAATTGCTTCATACATGATATTTGAATTAGACAAAAAGGGATTTAATAATTGTACAAACCGCAGCATATTTCTCAACGAGTGGGCGGAAGCAAGGGTCAGAAAGAAGAGCCTTATCAGACGGCAACTTCAAGAGTCCATCTTTGTCTCCTTCCAGAAGCTCCCTGGCAGTTGAAACACAAAACAGATTACTAAACAAATTCGGCAAATACTGTAAAATGAAACAGATGCAACTGACAATTTTAACACCGACTCTAAATAATTAAATACGAATCACATATCTTACTTGAAGTACGAGTTGTCAAAGATGAGAGGGTTTTCAGTCCAGGGTCCCTCAAATCCAGACCGTTCCTTATGGGCCCTTCCCTGCATACAGAGAGATCGAATATAAGCAACAAAGTTGAAAAGTTCGTTCTAAAGTATGTTCTAAACAGAAAAGATGGCAGCTAAAGTACAAACCAGAGTGTGGCCACCAGACAATGCAACAATGTCCTTGTCGGTTAGACCCATTTGTTTGATGAAAACATCCCTGAGGTGGTCAGATCCTGAAATAGTATGCAACGATAAATAAGGTTCAAGTGAAGGATTTGTGGAAATATGCACAGTTTAACCACCAAATAGAGATAGATAGTAGTAATAGTTTTGAATACGGAATAACTCAATTTCTTCTACATTAAAGTAAAGAAGAGAAAAGCATCAGGACTACTTACCCTGAGTAGCATCTGGCAGGCGGCCTTCAACTGGTGCCTCCAGCTCATCCTGACATTTTACAGTTTACATAAGTTTCTCAAATATTCCAGCCATAAAACTTTCAAGCAAATAATCTCTCTCCACAGCAAAGAGACCAAAGATGATATGAGATCATAACCCACAGAGTTTCATATGTTCACAGATACAACTTTTTTTAGCCCTTGTTTATGACCATGCAAAAAATAAACGCCCTATCCACCAGAACCAAATTCTGAGCAACTTCTACACCACATAAACCATCATACTCGAGTAACAACACCTCATGTGTGATAAGTGTTTATCTCAAAAAGAATAGTCCATCGTAGATACAAAGCGAAATGCCACATAGTATCAACAAGTACATTACAAAAATATATCTTCTATAAACGCTTCTTCACCTCATTATCAGGCCAAAACAATGGCAGAATGTGAACTTCATAGGTTAGTTAAAGATTACATAGCAAAAAAAATATCTCGTAGACAAAGAAAAATGAATTTGACTTACCTTCCTGCCTGGGTGGAATGGAATTTCAGGTCCTCCAGTCACTTCAACTGCTACAACTCCAGCCAACTAAATGCAATTCAAAAAATAAAAAATAAGAACATAAGAACTGCAACTTTCTTAGGCATGATTGGTGACCATACATAAAGAGGATAAAAAAACTACCTGATAGAAGTCAGCATAAGAAAGGATGGGGAATTGATCCTTGATTGGCTGCAGGAGCCTCACAGCAATGTCAAGACCGTTGTTGGCACCATGTGCTAGCTCAGCCTCAAGCCTCATGGTGCCGAAAGGGCCTCCAGTCTTGCTAAGCTTGTCATAGGTACCAGCTGAGTGCCATCTGCAATCACACATAGTAATCTCACAATTAGAGCCACAATTTTCACACATATGATGCAGTATACCATGATAACATTTGTCAATGCACTAGGTATAAAACTATTGATACAAGGGAAATAAAAAAGGAAAAGGGAAAAATAAAATTTAACTAGGGAGTAAAGAAACTTTATTAGAGAGTAACAGCTTATCATCAACCGGCCTCGATTGAAAACAATCTTGAACTATTTTCGTATCATTTTACAAAAATGAGTAAATAAAATTCTCTCACAACATGGATCCTAGTATCATCTCATAATTCAACAACAAACCTACAGCATCTATTTATCAACATTTAAACTAAATGAAAAGGGGGGTAAGGAAATAGATGTCTCTGATTTGGTGTGGAGAAGGGACATCTCATTGTTGGAAGCTAGTCTTAAATCAGTTGATTAATTATGATTTAAACTGATAAAATTTATAAATGGTACTGTTTGGTATGTGTGTGACCTGAATGGGGTTGATCTAATTAAAGAAAAAATATGGTAAATGGACTCAAATCTTCGTCGTTTTCAAACACACCCAGATAAATCCCACAGGAATAGTCCAGTTAAAGTGAACTGTACATTTCAGCACGACAAGCCAATATCTAATCCGAATTCCGATCAATCCGTAAATTCACAGCCATAAAAAAGCAAGACTACCGATAAACAACATACAACGACTTATAAACAAGATATTCAAGATCCCAAAAGACGGAAACACAATCAAGCGAAAGAGTAGAACAACTTACGCAAGACGGAGCATAAGAGGAGCACAGTTCTTCTCAGCGATGAGACCTCTGAGCTTCTGCCTGGCCTTCTCAACAGCCTTGAGGTACTCCTCACTCACAGTCGGGTAGTTCTTCACCATTTTCGCCGATTTCTGTAAATCAGATCTATTCCCATCAGATCAACAACGAGAATAATCCAGCAACACAAACCCCAAAAACACACCCAAAAAAGTCAACGACAACCAGCAATCTTGAACTCCAAAAACTCAAAAAATGGCAAATCATGGGAACCATAAATCTACTGACCTCGAGATGAAACACAGACGAAAGCAAAAAAGTTATAATTCAGCAACACACAATCCAGCAACAAAAAATCCAAATATGCACAAAAAACGTCAACCAAAAACAAGCAATCAAACCTAAAAAAAAAACATAAGCGAAAATGGCGATAAACACAAATCCACTGACCTCGAAACGAAGCACACAGGAAAGCAAAAGAGAGATGGTAATCCAAAAGTCTCAGAAAATGCGCGTGTGGTGAGCACGAAGTCCTTGCTACTTTGAGATAATGAAGCTAATATTTATACAGAGTACAGAGAGAAGATTCCAGAAGATAGCTTCCGAGGCGTCCGATCGGGGATGGACGGCCGAGATTGGGGCGCCGTAGGGGATTAGGTGGTGTATTGGACCGTTTAATGGTAGGTGGAGAATTTAGAATGAGATTTGTGGGATTTGAAAGCGGGAAGTCATGAGGCGGACTTTTTTTGGGTCTCATTTATGGTTCTTATTGAAAAGACAGCAAACCCCTCTGAGTTGGCGATTGTTTGGGGGCGCGGGAAGGGGTAAAACGGGTAATTAGATTAAAATATCTGGGATGCAGGTGTGAACGCGGCGGGTTTGGGTCGAGATTCCATTCAAAAATAGAAAAATATAGTGAGTCGGCTGCAAAGGTAGTGTGCCCCCACTTGTCCGATTATTATCATCAAATTATATCATGTTTCATTCTAAAAAAGCAGAAGGGAAACACAAATTGTTTGTTATTCGAAACTGAAAATAGAAAGAGATTTCTGGACAAATCAAATGAACTACTATACATATTTAGAGATATTTATATTTATATTTATATAAAAAGGTTGTATGAAAACTTTAAAATAGTAAACTTACTTTTCAAGTTCATAATTTGACATTCTGTTAAGTGAAATTTTTGGAAAAATCGAACTTGAGCATGTTTGTTTATGGAAATTTTTAGTTTATTTGGATTTTTGGTTTTGGTTTGGTTAATTTTTTTAAAAAATTGTATGGTTAGTTGTTAGTGGGTATATTAAAATAATATTTAAAATAAAATAATTAAAATTGATTTGATGTAAAAGTAGGAGAGAGATAGTTGAAGTGATGGTTAATTAAAATAATGTGCTATAGTGAATTAAGGTTGATGTGGTGTGTATGAATGATTGAATGATATTATTTAATTATATTAATAACATTGATGATAGTGGGGTTGAATTAAAGTTGAATTAAAAAAAGTGGTTGAGTTAAAATGTAAAATTTTTTTGAAAAATTTTCATGAACAAACATGCACTTTCTATGCTTTTTTTCTTTATTGAAAAACCTGATTAGCTTATTATTGAAAAGAAATTTGTACATCATTTGATTTTGCAAAAACCAACCCCTTTATTTCTTGAAAAAAATGTATCATAATTTAGCTGTGAATATCCGGGACTATTCTTAAACTGATTTCCCTTCAACATTTGATTTTATATCTAAAAATATATTTAAAAAGATTTTCATTTGTTGTTTAATTTCATTTTTTTTTATTTTATGAAAATTTGGATTAGTTTATATCTGTATATATAAAGAGTTTGAATATACTTAAAATAGTAGGTACAAATTTCTACCAAAAATATTCTATTACTTATTAAGAAAAAAATTTAAATCAATTTTCGAATTCACGTTTTAATTCCAGATATAAAAAAAGGACTCTTTCCCTTTTTATTTAAAAAAAAAAAAATAGATAAATGGATTCAAATTTCATGACCAAGTATGCCACATTATTAGTTCAACATTACTAACCATGTAATAATTTATCACTAATATTCGATCTTATTCATGTGCATAGATGCAAATAAAATTTTATAGGTTACATGCATGTGTACGTAATCTTTAAAACCATAAGTTAGATAATGAGCGTATCACATTTTAAAAACTTTATCATTTATAAATGATCGATATAAATATAAATTATTTAATTTACATATTAAATTTATATCGATTACAATAATGTAATTTTTGTAGTCTTGGCCGATTATGACCAATTAATTAGATAAAAATAGTATTAAAATTATTCTTATTCTTATTATTATTGTTATGGCAATTGTGTAAGAAATTTTAAGGGGTTCGGTTACGCCATAAATAAATGATTAACTATTTTTAACAAAAATCTTGCTTAATGAGTTGAAAAAACCTAAATAGTTATTTGAAATAAATAGTTTAACAGTAATTTCAGAATAGAATGTCATTTAATGTGAATTTATAATTAGTTAGTAATAACTATTATGTAAAAAATAAATAAAAATGTAATACTTGGTTGATACAAAATGTAACGGAAAATGGAAGAAAACAAAAAGAGTTTTATTAAATGTTTTGGCTAGAATTATATACAAAAAAATGACCAGTTCTTGTATTTATGCAAATAAAAAAGTCAGTTTTATAAATATTATTTTGCGTTTATAGTCAATATATATTGAGTATATGCTGTGTTTTTTATTTACATAACATGTTTATCCAACCACGATTGGGATGTTTGAATTTTGGTTCAGTATATAACCTTATACGTTTTTTGTTTACATAACATTTTTATCTAACCACAAATGTGATGTTTGAATTTTGGTTCAATATATAACGCGTCATATACATATCATAAACTGATCATAATCATTATTCTAATAAACTATTTTAGTATATGTAGAGTATATGATACAAATACAAAGGTCAGTAGCTTGAAACAAAATGTCAATCAAATGAAAAAAATGGGTTCATGAACGGAAAAAACATAAAGTATAGTAATGGTAATTGAAAAGTTATACATCATAACATAACCAAATTAAATTATGGATTATATACATATCATAAACTACTCATAACAACAGAGGTGTTTGGAAAAAAATGGTAAAACACTCTATTGATGAAAACCAGATGCATCAGGTATATCATAAACATATACTGAAAATATACTGCATATACACGCTATATGTACTGTCGACATCTCCACGAGCCTGAGCTTCGGGCCTCGCCTTCGTCATCTTTCAATGATTCGACCGATAAATCCTCAATTCTGGTTCATAGTCCCTTCGTCACCCATCGACCTCCATTACTTAACTTTCGGCCAGATGAGGCTTCCAACTTTCAAGACACCATGCATCCATCCGCGAATACATGGTGGGGCTCGCTTTCCATGGCCCGATAACCGCAATATCCCATTAAATCCGCCGCCTCTTAAATAAAATATACTTATATTTAAAATAGAATTCTAGTATTATGCAAACTAGTAATTAATCTGTGCATTTGCACAGTTACAAATTCATAGAAAAGAAAATAATAAAAACAAAAATACTAAATCATAATTTAATTCAAGAAAAATTTTAATTAAGAAAAGAATTCTAAATATTATTAAAAAATATGTTATATACAACATTTATATTTTATATACAATATTTTAATATAACGCCATAGAAAATTTGACATCTCTTGATTAGGTAGTGCTTTTTAGTTAAATGACATTAGTAATATAATATTGCAACATAACATTTGGATTGAGAATAAGAAAAAATATCTAAAATTAGAATATGGCAACTTGATAATGAGATATATTGGTGTTTGAAATATAATTTATTATTAATGATTTATACAATTAGATATATTGTTTTTTCTTGTAGGTGGATATATATATATATATATATATATATATATTGAAATAGATGACTGGATATTTTTAGTTTTATTTCTTAATTATTTGATTTTGTAATTTTGGAATCTGAATTATTGTGTGAATCATTTTTACGTACTCAAGCATAAAAAAATTTGAATATATATATAGAGAGAGAGATTGGATCACATGAGAATGGTACATAGCGAAAGAAATAAGAATAAATGTGGGCCTTTAGATCTATGAAATCAACAGTAGATAGGGTCGCGCTCTGTCTTTTAAATGATCAATATGCGGTGGCAGTTTAGTAATTAAAAGGAAGTTTGCGGTCTGTTGTGAAGGAGCTGAGGGTATAGGAGTATTTTCGCTAAGACACATTCATTGTGATTCCGTTTTTCCCAACGAGTAATTGAGAGTAATTTCAGAAACTGGCAGGCGCTCTAATCAATCTCAATAATGGCGGAGCTTGCGTTATGAAGATGCTATTTCTATTGTTGAAGAAGCCGTTGGGGGAATAAGCGATGCTGCTAAGTTCATCGGCTAGGACTTCTTGAGAGCGAGGCTAGTTCTAACTTCACATTTTAAGGGTTAGGGTTCACGGTTCAGGAAATTACGAGATGGGAAACTCGCCTCATTAAAAAAAACCAGGTATATTGTTGTCCAAGATGCTTTCTATGGAATTTTCGGTTTTACAATAATTGTATTATTTGTTTTTTTCAGTGTTTATAAGGCCATTTTAATTCGAAATTTCTCCGTCATGTGCTTGGTTCTAGCCGTCCTTGTCCTTTGGTGTTGTCTTTCCTGTTATGTTTTTGCAATAACCGGTCTGTTTGGTCTTTTTTGCAATAATATGACACACTGCCCTTTCCCTCTTATAGTCTTATAGTAGAGTGAGTGAAGGAAATGGCTCATTTGTGAGCCAAGCATCAAGCCTAAATTTGTTGAGTTGAGGGGATGTTGATATAATTTACAGAACAGTCCCAGTTTCTCTATTGAAAGAGAGTATGTACTCAGTACATACTCACTGAAGTTGAAATGTGAGTATTGAAATCAGAAGATTAGGATAATAAAGTATATTATCGTAAATTTGAATATTACGTTCCATTCCAAAATATAGAAAACATATGTACAGAAGCAGTTTTACATTGTTTTCTTGTGCTATAGTTAAGCTTCTATTAGATCACAATGGATGCAAATTTCATGGTCACACTAGTGATGTGTGTTGCTACTGAGCTTCAAATTATTTAGCTACTTCTATTTTTCCCAAAAAAAAAAAATGGTATTGTAACTGATATATACTATAAAAAGGTTCTATGCGAGTTATGGGTTCCAGTTTATACTTTATCTATGCCCCATAGTATTGAGATACACGATTGAAGTTCCATAACTAACAGACAGCAAGCAGGCAGACTTCGACACTTGATTCTTGATTGGTGTGTATATTCGATGGCATACACTTATTGGTGTGTATATTCGTTGGTATTGCCACTTTGACACATGATCACTTGAAGATAATCTCAGTTGTTTGGTTTTACTGTACAATTCGTAGGTGGTATGTGACTACAAATCTTGGAGCTGATGAAAAAAACCGGGATACTGGTAAGTATTTTGACTTAATATGATGTCGGTGTTTTTGTGATGAGATAATGTGCTCTATTCGTACTAATTATGTCATCATTATATATTGTAGTTAAAGACCAAACATGTTCAGTTGCCGAAGTAGCTGGTGATCAGACGCTTGTTTCACGTATAGGTAGTTGTGTTTTTTTGTTTGTTTGTTGGCAAACATATGTTTTGGTTGCTGCCAATATTTGGATTTAGTATTTTGCATGTATATATAGTTGGTTTATTGTCATGTGTCGTTTGATAATAACCATTGATTGGTTGGTTAGGTGACAAACGTCACACGAACAGCACTTCAAGACGTCCGAGCGGCATGACAAAGACTAATGATAACGTGCATGAAGGTGACTATTAATGAGTGCTTATCTACAATGTGATTGTTAGTGGTTGCATGACGTGTGAGGCTGTGTGTATATGTTTATGCGTGTGTGGAAAGTTGTGTGTGTGTCTACCAATGTAGCGGGTTATAACTTTGTGTTATATGTTTTTTTGTAGGTGGAACTTGTAAAACAAACGAGTCCACAGTTTCAACACGTGTAGTTGATGACCAAACTAAAAAAGATGGTAAGGATAGACGTTTGTTGCTTAAAATTTTATTTTTTGAAGTCGTTGTGATTAGTATTTAATAATGTATGATGCTATGCATATAGTGTGCATTTGATGTACTGGTGGGTGCTATGCATATATTGTGCATTTGTTGTACTGGAGTTGTGCAAGTTGCGGTGTACAAGTGTGCATCCATGTATTTTACACACTCACATGTATGTTCCTATTGTCATTCTTACATGGTTGAATAGATCTAAATGGCTTGCAGAATAAAAAATAGCCGACTTACATTGCTAATATGTTAAACTTGTTTGCCCTGTCACCTTTCTTACTTATTGCATATATCACTGTATGGAATGGTCTTTTATCAAATTGTGAATTAATTTTAATTACCGTTCCTAGGTAAGAGAAAGGCAAATCGCGATGTGTCATGCGCGAAGCGCGTGAAGATTGTGCCAACATCGAACCAACCTGATAGTAGTGATGATTTCGTGGAAGAATGCCCTCGTACGCGTCATGTCAAGTCGACCATCAAGCATAAGGGTATTTGTTACTCACCTGCCAAATTACGAATCTATTCATAGTTATTGCACATTTTTTTGATGAATTTATGTTTGCAACAGGTGAGGGTAAAGTGCCGGTTAATCAGGAACATACTATTGATCACGAATCAGACAAAGAACTGGTTGTGTATGAATCCGGTAGCGATGATGATGGAGTTTTCCCTGTCGTGAATACAAGATCATCAACAACCACGTTTGTGAAGGCTGTGTCCGGGCTGTCAGACACAAAGAAAAATGCAGTTCTTGAGATGGGCCTTGGATACTTGCTAGACTTGAAGATAACGTCGTTGCCACTGAAAATGGGTTTTTGGTTGGTTGATAACTTCAACTATACGGACCGCAAGCTGCGACTATATGGTGGTGAAAAGATACATGTGAGGAAGGAGGACGTGTATGCGGTTTTAGGACTCCCTCGTGGCTCAATTCAAATATCAAACAAACAAAAGAGAGTGGAATCAAACATTCTTAGTCAACGGGTTAGTCTATTCGATATTAGAAGGTCAACTAATATCACAACAACTAAGATGCTTGAGAAGATCCAGGAATGTGCAGATGGTGACGATTGGTTTAAGAGGCATTTTGTTGTTCTGATGGTGACGTGCTTGTTTGAGAGCTGCCAAAACGGAATGGTGAATTCAAGAATTGTCCACTTGCTCGATGATGTATCCAATGTTGTTGATATGAACTGGTGCGCGTACATGATCAGTTGCCTTGTGAACACAAGAAAAACATGGTGCGATAATGGAAAACAGAACAAGTATACAGACCCTTTGATGTTTTTTACGGTTAGTACGAATGATTTTAATTGCTAAACATCTTAGCATATGCATTTTTTTTTTCATATTATGTTATGTAAATATTATTATTAATACCTCTTTTTTTTGTTTCTAGATATTCTATGTGGATAAGGTGGTGTTGTCGATGAGAACTGTTTGAAGATCGTTCCCGACGTTTAAAGCATGGACTAATGATCTATTAAGGGACAGAGAGCGTGATGAGATAAAGACTGATGCATTTGGCAGAGGATTTGTGGACAAGGACGCGCATGTCGTGGAAGCTGATCGCCGTCCGGATGTCATTGATAAAATTACAGATGGCGAGTTGAAGGCGAGTTGTGAGACTGAACACACTGTTCAGGTATGTAGGAAATTGGTTATTTATGGTTGCCAATGTGTTTGTGGTGATATCTGCATATGTGCAATCATGATTTGTGATTGCTAGAATTTCGATACGTGTACCCGTGGTGTTACAAGCTTGCTGAACTTTCGATATGTGTGTGTTAATAATTTTTGTCTGACATGACATATAATGTTCATTTTATGACGTACACATGTTCATGACATATAATGTCCATTTGATGATGTATACATGTTCAATGAGTGTTTGTGTTTATCTTGCTTATCTGTTTACAATATACCATAATACAATATAATATAATATTTGGTTATTCTTATTGGCAGACATTTGTTCAAGAATTCACATCTAAAACCCGGATTCTTGCAAATATTGGAGTTGAAATATTACGGCTTGTCGAGAAGGCTCCATAGGTTCTATTTGATGATGAAACCTTCGTGAAGATGCAATCTGCCGCACAAAAATTTCTCGGCGTTTCAAATGATGACTCGAAGTTGAAGTCGAAAATTAATTATAGCCAGCACAAGAAGATGCAGCGAGGCTCAAGTGATATGGATCCAAACCATCCATACCAGGTAGAGCCTACGCAAAAGGAAAATGCGAATAAGGATTTCGCAAGGGGAGTGCGTCTCAGGTCGCAGATGACGCATTTTGGAATGATCCCGTAACGATAGCGGCGTTAGACGATATATTGGACGATGTTGCACGTCGGGACTATTTCAGACAGATGCTATTAGAGAGTCCGAGCTTTAGCTTGGGGTTATCATCAAACAAGGATGAGTATGTTGTTCGCTGCCATCGATCGGGTGAGGGTGAAGGGGGTAGTGGCGTTAATGCTCATCAAACGGACGAAGTAGCTGCCGGAGGATCTTCAGGGGTAGGGGTAGATATACCGACAAGTAATGTTAAACTACATTACAGTTGATATTTTCTTCGTGATTAATGTTTACGTATATGGATTTTTGTTGACTTCTTTGATGATCAATATTATGTCATAGGTGACATTGTTGTTGATACGAACATTGGTGTTGATGTTGCGGGTATTGGTGGTGTACAAGGTACATATACTAATTCATGCCCTTTTTTTTGTATATATATATATATATATATATATATATATATATATTAATGTGTATTATATTTCGTTTTTCATGTAATTGTGTCGTATGACATATATACTTTTATTATATAGTTGAGTTTATCGTCATCATTGTAGATGAGGTTGCTGTCGCAGAGCAAGTTGATGGTTGTGAGACTGGTGGAAATGCGAATAATATAGGTGTGACACAAGGTATATGTGACTAGTTCATTTAATGAAATTAGTCGGTTTTCAATTTATGATATTCTTTTTTTTTTAGTATTTTTTGTCTGTGCATCTTGATTTGTGTGTAGGTGCCGGAGTCGCATCCGACGATGGACTGGCTGTCAATACAAGGCCTAAGCGACAAACCAATGCAACTAGTGCAATCAAGTCACCGTTTAAGGAGAGGTTGGTTGATGTGAACTCGAAACTAGATGCAAAAGAGAAGATGGTGGTAGTTAACTGGGTTATGAAGAATCACTTGGCTTGCGATTAAGCTATCTCACTTGTGTTGATAATTATGTTTTATAATTTCTTGAACATTAATTATCATATTATTTCTAATTCTAATGTATTGTGAGTAGTATGTATTGTTCTGAATGAATGATTATGTTTTATGAATGTTGCTATTTAGGCAAAATGACATAATAATATTCCAGTCGTTTGAAACTGTCCCATATTCTGTCCCGAGGCCGGTTGTGGCATGTTTGATTCCGAATGAACATATTTCTGAGGCGATGATAGACTTGTGGGCTTTTGTTCTTAATCACAATGAGAGATTAAAGAGTCGTGGTTCAGCGACGTGTTTTTATGCATTTACGTCTCCATGTAACGAGGTATGATGTGCAACAAATCGTGTCAAATTGCGTGTAAAAGTTGTCGATATTATATAATATTGTTTGTAATGGGTGATGTGTGTTCACAGCTGTTTGTAGAGGGCAAGCGGAAGAAGGACGTTACCTACAAAAAGTTTGCAAAATGTATTGATGCTGAGATTGTGCGGATGTCCTGGTATCAGTTGGACCAAATGTCACTGGTGAGTTTGTCAATTGATTTTATACTATTCGACCTCGAACTACTTTCCTTTATAAGGTTGAAATGACGCGTATGATAATCGTACCTTTATTGTTCATTTCAGTTTTTATTCCCTGTACACTCGAGTGCATTTTCTGGTGTGTTATGCATTGCACCGGGTGCACAGAAGTACAAAGTTGTTGTTCTGGACAGTGCTGGGTTCTGTAAAGAAGCTACGGTTAAGAAAAAGGAGCGTGGTATTGCTCCTTGTTGAGTGTGTGGGTGTGTACGAGACTTGTTGGCGTTATTATTGTTTATGACTAAGTATGTCGTACTTTTTTTTTTTTTTTTTTTTTTAGGATGTCGTATGTGGTGTTTTCATATGTTGCGTTTTGGGTTTTAGACATATTTCTGAATGATGACAGGTTTTGTGGCATGAACTTGCGGTCGTAAATATAGTATGCTGGCTGGTATTATAATGTGCAGGCTATCCATAGATATTGTGCTGTAATACGCATAATAATGTGCAACATTTATGTAGTCGAATATACATGCGATAGGCAGTCGTATATTGATATTGTTCCTTAATGTGCAACATTGATCGAATTAATGTGCAACGATGCATTCAATAATGTGCATTCGTTTCAAGCTATGTATATTTATTTATTATAATGTGCAACTTTTATGTAATCATATATACTTGTTGACAGTCATATAATAACAGTGATTCTTAATGTGCATATTCGTCTAAATTAATGTGCTATGTCGCATTCAATAACGTGCAGTCGCTTCAAGCTATGTATATTTATGCATTGGACATACAAAACAACACAATAATAATAATAATAAAAATAAAACCAATATAGAGTTGGATAGACAATAAACATCATTTGTAGCAACACGGTAATATCAAAAAAAACAAAAAAAACCACAAAAGAAAAAAAAATGGGTTAAGTGCAACATCGAAGCTTCCAGCATCTTCATCCACTCTCATTGACTCTCATTGTCTGCATGTAATTAGATACGCCGATTAGTGAAATACGTAGGCATGCTCGTACCTCGATAGTGTAATCCAATGTAACAAAAATTTAACACAACGATGCATGAACAGAGATTTTTTGTTTTTTTTTTGTAGTACGGAAAATGTATTACAAATCATACCACGACTGTTTCTTGGGACATGTCCGGGTGTTGTGACCTGCCCTCTCACTGCACGTCTTGCATATACGTCTCTTTTTTATGGATTTTTCAATTGCTTGCTCCTTCCCGCTTTTCATCCTTTTCCCATTGCCCTTGTTATTTGATTTAGCCGGCGGGTGTATGTTCAACTCCTGAGGGGCAGACATGCCGACAAACGTTTCAAATCGATGCTCTTTCGTCCCGGTTGGAACAGGTCCCTGTTCAGTCATCAACTTGTGCTTGTGGTTTCTGATAAGTCTTGAAACTCGACAAGGCAGTCCATGGATGACTCGACCAATCCCATGCATAGATGTATGTCAGACCACAATTTATTCACCATGAATTTTGTATAATCAATTTGAGCACACTGTTCGGTTATACCATCAACAACGCAGAACATTGGGTTAAGAATTGCCAGTTTTGTCCATCTCGATAGAATATATGCAGTCGGTATAACCTCAATGTTCACATCCCTCAACACAACGAAAATGTGCCTGCACAGCCACCCATACAGTTCAAAATGCTTACAAGAGCATGTGGATGTTTTCAAACTCACATTGTATAGTACCGTGAACGTCTTGCCATTAATATCCTGGACTTCGAATTTTGTATGCCCATCGTCATCTGAGAATTTCATAAGACGACAATGAAATCATGCTACACATATTTCTTTTTGAACAAGATAGAACATGACAGTGGTATACACATTAAGAGCATGCTTTTCAATAGCCAATGGAGTTTTCAAGTTAGCCAAGTGTGTTTCGGTGTCCGCTTGCAATTTCATTGATATGTTTCACTGCGCATCCATTGCACTATCAAAGTGTAGCAAGAATTCGACTAGACTAGCATGACTGTTCATGAAATAGCTGAACCAATTGTTCTCATTCTCTGACCTAGACGTAGTTCTCATTAGCCCGCTCATTTTAACACTTCTAAAGAATACTGGAATCCAATGTTCCCGTTTTGCATACAAATCAACAAACCAGCTGTGAGTTTCCAGATCATATTCACGCATGAGTTCAGTCCACTTCGTCTCAAAATCCGGTGGTTCTAGTGTTCGATCCCAAACAAGCTCATTAAGTCTGGATTTGAAAGCAACATCATTATGCAAACAATGTCCTACCTTATCTCATAATTTTGTCATTATGTGCCACACGCAAAAACGATGCCTTGACGTATTAAATACCTGAGAAAAGGCGATTCCAATTGAGGGATCTTGGTCCGTGACAATGTATTCTGGCTCTCGAATCATGGCGGCCTTGAAATTTTCAAACACCCAAACATAAGAACCTACGTCCTCCTTTGATATCAAGGCTGCCGCAAAAGTAACACATTTGTTGTGGTTATCGATCCCCGTGAAGGGAGCAAACACCATATTGTATCTGTAAAGATAACCATTGAGTGTTAACATACGGTTCGAGGCATAGTATAATGTTCATCACTGTATGTTATTTTGTGCATCCTATAACAATGTAATGTGCAATCAATAATGATGTTTTGTGCATTGAGGTATAGTATAATGTTCATCACTGTATGATTTTTTATGCATCCTGTAACAATGTAATGTGCAATCATTAATGATGTTTTATGCATTCAGTAATTCTGTAATACAATGCAATCATGTAAAATACAAGTTGTAAGTTACCTGTTGGTGCAATATGTTGCATCAAATGTCACGACATCTCCAAATGATCCATAATTCTGTCTCGAAATTGGATCTGCCCAGAAAAGTCGTTGCAAGCAGTCATTATCGTCTACTTCGTAATGAAAGTAGAATGCANAAAAAAAAAAAAAGAAGGTCCTGGATCGATTGTATATGTTGAATTAAAGCCCTAAATTCCAATAATGTACATACCTGATTTCGATTTTTGCCCTAACCGCGGATGCAGAATCCAGATTCGATGAAATTCAATCTGAGAGCCTTTCTAGCTTGGAGATTTGGGATTTTTCATAGATTTTGATTTCGAGCTTCGGGATTCGACGTCGAGCTTGGAGGTTTGGGATTTAAAATCGAGCTGGGAGAACGGCGTTTGATGTTTGGGATTTTTCACAGTCGCGTTTGATGTTGAATTTAATGTCGAGCTGGGAGAATGGCTTGGGGCTGTGTATAACGTAATTACTAATTCGCCCTTCTAGTGACTATATATATATATATATATATATGTATATATATATATATATATGATGTGGTTCAAATGAGAACCAAGTTCTAGCGTGAGAACCGTGAGAACCGCTATTTATAGTTGCAAGTAGTGCTATGATTTATTGTGTTTTAATGCTATTTTTAACATTGATTTATTTTCTTAAAAATAGCAACACAATTTATAATAGCATTTGTGAAAATGATAGCACCATGTGATATTAAAAATAGCATCATACACAATAAAAACTAGCATCAAATATGGTTCTCACGGTTCTCACACTAGGACTAGTTTTTATTTGAACCACTCCCTATATATATATATATTAAATATCATGTTTTTTGTTTCAATTTTGTCAAAATATGTTTTCGTAATATAATTTTTGTTTCAGTTTTTGTCCTAATATGTTTAGTAATATCATTTTTAGACAAATCTATTTATCAAAGATATGGTGTCAATCAATGTTATTTTATGCATCATTGCATATTTTATGATATTTGTTTGAGTTTCATTTCTTTTGCCATTTTTTTTTTCATTTTCATTTTTTAAGTGAATGTGGAAATTATTGGGGAAGTGAATATTAGTTTTGAATAGAATGTTTGAACTTAACATGAAGATTTAATTATACTAAGACTAGAGGGATTTCTCATTTCTGGTTTGATTTGGGGGATTTTCTTTTATAGATTTTGCACTTTTGGTAAACAATTTATTTTGTGTGAGTTCATTTTTGAACGATTGATCATGAGTATAGAATGTGAAAATGATTAGTTCATAATTTTATATTTCAACTCATATTTGGCTTAAATAAATGGGCATATCTGACTTATATTGGTATTGCGAAATTTTTTAATTGGGGATGATTTTCTCGAAGATTGTTTGATTCTCTTCGTCGAACGAGAGTTTACTAATAATATAAGTATAGATCTATTATTGGTGAATTTTATTATGTAAAAGCTCGTCGAGCACAACTTCAATGAATATTTGAAAAAAAAAAAATATTATGTAATTTTTATGAAAATAAGTTTAAAATTGTAGCCCACTCTACCCTTAATTTCTAGACCCGTCCCTGATTATATTGGAATATCTACTGAAAAAATTATTGAAATTTAATAAAAATATATTCTATTAGAAATTTCAATAAATGTGTTGTTGTAGTATAATAGCTAGCTCCGTTGATAGTATAATTTCAAACAAAATACACGTACTACATAAAGAAAACAAATAAAATACAAGCCGACCTCGTCAAAGGGACTAGTTTAGGATCTCGAAAATAATTACTCGTCGTCAAGAGAGTGCAGTGTCTTAACGAGAAACCACCAGCGAGGCCAACAATTCATGCATGCCTCACACGTGTTCCCTTTCCCTTCTCTACATAAACCCCCCACAACCACACCCCTTCAAATCCCACACACTACACACAAAATAACAACTCACAAACTCTTAACAATTCAAGTAAAATGGGGATGAGAGTGGCTCTACTGGTGGCGCTGGTCGCGGCGGCGGCGGCTGCCGCCGGCTACAGGGAGGACGAGAGGGAGAGATGGGAAGGGGAAGGGGAGGGCGGCGGCCGTGAGGGCCGGAAGGGCGAGGAGTGGTTTTTGTTGCAGGAGTCGAAGCAGGTGGTGAGGACGGAGGCAGGGGAGATGCGGGTGGTCCGGGGCGGCCGCGGCGGCGCCGGCGGAAGGTCCGCCGTGGGGTGGGGGGCGGCGCCGCCGATGCACATAGGGTTCATCACCATGGAGCCGAGGAGCCTTTTCATCCCTCAGTACCTCGACTCCACCCTCATTCTCTTCATCCGTACCGGTAATTAGCCAATAATTAATTAGCTAATTTGTGATTGAAAGTAATGAGAAATTTATCTATCCAATAATAGATCGACATACCGTTTTCTTTTTCTTTTTTTTTTCNTCTAGAAGTAAAATCAAATTAATTTGTGCTCAGGGGAAGCAAAGGTTGGACACATATACAAAGATGAACTGGTGGAAAGGACTCTGAGGATTGGAGATATATATAGAATCGAGTCCGGCTCGGCTTTTTATTTGGTCAACACAGGAGAAGGCCAGAGGCTCCACATCATTTGCAGCATCGCCACGTCAGACAGCTTAGGATGGCACACATTCCAGGCACACACTATAAACTTTTTTTTTTTGTCGCAAATTAGTTAATTATGAATTGTTGATTAACTATAATTCGGGACATTTATTTTTACAGTCTTTCTACGTAGCCGGAGGGACTTATCCAGCGTCCATCCTTTCCGGGTTCGATCACTTGACATTGTCCACCGCGTTCAATGTAAGTGGATTTATTAACTAAAAACTTTGGTCAAAATTTATTTTATTTAATTAATTTTATTGGTATTGAAGAAAAGCCTTGTGAGTTGTGATTACAGGTGTCAGAAGCAGAGTTAGGGGAGATGCTGACGAGGCAGAAAAACGGGCCAATCGTGTACCTTACGGACACCCACTCGCCTAGCATGTGGACAAAATTTATCAACATGGAGCAACACGAAAAAGTGACACACATGAGAAAAATAATCCATGTTTGGGCCCAAGATCTCGTGGAGGATGATGAGGAGCAAGAGACTTTCATGTGGTCTTTCAGGAAGCTCTTGTTATCCATGTTTGGAAGGGCGGATAAAAGGAAGGGAGATGAGAGGAAGCGTAGGGCTACGGGAAAAGGGCCCGACGCGTACAATCTATATGATAGGAAGCCCGACTTCAAGAATGACTATGGATGGAGCATTGCATTGGACGAATCGGATTATAAGCCCCTCAAGTATGATGACTTTGGCGTTTATCTCGTCAATCTTACTGCGGTAAAAAATCTCGTTTATATTTGACAATGCTATTTATGTTTAGTGAAATCATTTGCATTCGAGCGTCACCAAAATTACATAGTTTAGTTACAATTGCAAAATTTAAAAAATGGTCCACTGTGTTGGCCATTCTCATCATATAGATGGTTATCAAGGGTTACAATGGCATGGACTATGTTGCCAATTTTTTGAAAAAAGTCCGTCGTACAATAACTAACATAATCAAAATTTGTACAGTAACATAGTGTACTAAAAGTAATCATTGTTAGTTGCATTTTGAGTACACTATGTTGGTTATTGTACGAGTCATTTTTAGTTGACATTTTGAGTTGGGTACTATATGAGTCTTGATTAAAGTGGACAACTTAGTGGATTGATGTGGACCTGAAGAATGGTCAACATAGAGTAGTAATTAAAAATGAAATTTAGCATAGTTACAATACACACACTTGAAACAAACTTTTTTATATTTTGGCAATTGGTCCCGTTTGCAGGGGTCGATGATGGCGCCCCACATCAACCCACGAGCAACCGAGTACGGTATAGTGTTGAGCGGGTCGGGTACAATCCAAATCGTGTTTCCCAACGGGAGCTTGGCCATGAATGCAAAGGTGGCCCAAGGAGAGGTTTTCTGGATACCCCGTTACTTGCCCTTCTGCCAGATCGCCTCCCGAATGGGGCCATTTGAGTTCTTCGGGTTCACCACCTCGGCCCGAAACAACCGGCCACAGTTCCTGGCTGGGTCCAATTCGCTTCTCCAGACAATGAGTGGGCCTGAGATGGCGGCTGCATTTGGGCTGAGCGAGGAAAGGCTGAACCAGATAGTCAACTCCCAGCGGGAGACCACTATACTGCCGTCTGCCACTGTGGCCCCACCCGATGATGATGGATCTGTCTAAAGTTGGGAGAAAAATGTTTGTGAATAAACTGGGGCTCTGCTTGTTTCTTCTGACCTATGAAATTGGAAGTACTTCTCCTTTTCATCCTTTTTTGTCTTCACCTGACCTATGAAATTGGAAGATCCTTTTTTTGTCTTCACCACCGTATGAATATTGGGACCTTGCTGAAAATGAGTACCTTTTTTTTTTCTCAACTAAATGTGCAGCTACAGTATACTGCCAGGGATTCAAAAGAAAACACGATGTAACGAACAAGTGTGAAAACCCAAAGAAAAAGAAAGCTATGATGAGCATTACTCATAGGGTCATACCAATTGGAGAGGTGCCTGTTTTAATAATGACCAAAGTATTTAAGTAACCAAGGTTTAATAAGAATGTGATCAAAACATTAGGTACGAGGGCGACTCATATACGCGCAGTTCCATTCTCTCTTCAGCACAAAAGTTCAGACCTCCTCAAATTATAGGGTGTTCGTGAAGTCTCTGGTTACTCGCATCAGAGGCATATTAGGGTATGAAATGAAATAGAAATAGGTTTTGTTACACACTCTGAACATTTTACTACGAAACCATTCAAGAACATGAGTATTATACTGATCACAAGATTTTTGCATATACAATCAGTTACATCTTAAACCTCCATTTGGCATTCTGCTACAAGATCAAATTAACTCTTCAATTACCACGAGGAAGTAGAAGCAGCAGAACACACAATCAAGATACACATAAAAATCAAGTAAAATAAGAAGGGTCCTACATAAACACAATATTCAAAACCAAAATCAAATGCAAATGCCATCTATTAGAAATATCCTCAAGACAAACACCAAAATGTTCTCGTTAGTCAGGTAAAAGACAAAGCACCCAGGATATTGAAAAAAAACTTAAACTCACTCTGAATATAAATGTTCAAAATTTAACAAACGACACCTAAATGCCACCGCCTGTCAAGAACCCAATTCTGGGAATGGCTTCCCAAGGCACATGGCAGATATAACAAACACAAGAAGTCTAACACAATAGTAGAAGAAGTAAAAACGAAGTTCTCAAGCAACAAGTACATAATAGAATGAGCAGCAGCATAAACAGAACCAATATGATGGACCAGCACACTTCATTTAGCACCCTTCTTAGCAGCAGCCTTGGTGACCTTAGCACCCGAAGCATCCTTCTTCTCCACACTCTTGATAACACCAACTGCAACAGTCTGCCTCATGTCACGCACGGCAAAACGACCAAGAGGCGGGTACTCAGCAAAAGTCTCCACAACCATGGGCTTGGTCGGAATCATCTTAACAAACCCAGCATCACCATTCTTCAAGAACTTGGGCTCCTTCTCCAGCTCCTTACCAGACCGCCTATCAATCTTAGTCACGAGCTCGGCAAATTTGACAGCAATGTGGGAAGTGTGGCAGTCGAGCACAGGGGCATAGCCTTGACCAATCTGCCCAGGGTGGTTCATGATGATAACCTGGGAGGTAAAGTTAGCAGCTTCCTTGGCAGGGTCATCCTTTGAGTTGGAAGCCACATAACCACGCTTCAAATCCTTCACAGCAACATTCTTCACATTGAACCCAACATTGTCACCTGGGAGGGCCTCTTGCATGGCCTCATGGTGCATCTCAACAGACTTGACCTCAGTTGTTAGGCCCGAAGGTCCAAACGTAACAACCATTCCAGGCTTAAGAATACCTGTCTCCACACGGCCAACAGGGACAGTGCCAATGCCACCAATCTTGTAGACATCCTGAAGTGGGAGACGGAGGGGCTTGTCTGAGGGCCTCTTGGGCTCATTGATAAGGTCTAGGGCTTCAAGGAGGGTCGGGCCCTTGTACCAGTCGAGGTTTGTGGACCTCTCAATCATGTTGTCACCCTCAAAGCCAGAGATGGGGACAAATGGGATCTTGTCAGGGTTGTAACCAACCTTTTTGAGGTATGACGAGACCTCCTTAACGATTTCATCATACCTGGCCTTGGAGTATTTCGGTGTGGTTGCATCCATCTGTCATAATTTTCAAAACCCAATGTTATAAAAACTCCCAAGGCAACAAAAAACTCCTTGAACACGAAGAGAAAACAATTTAACAAAATCAACCAACCTTGTTACAGCAGCAGATCATCTGCTTAACTCCGAGGGTGAAGGCGAGCAAGGCATGCTCACGGGTTTGGCCGTCCTTGGAAATACCAGCCTCAAATCCACCAGTTGTGGAATCAATAATGAGAACAGCACAATCAGCCTGAGAGGTGCCAGTGATCATGTTCTTGATGAAGTCACGGTGACCAGGAGCATCAATGACTGTGCAGTAGTACTTGGTGGTCTCGAATTTCCACAGGGCAATATCAATGGTGATACCACGTTCACGCTCAGCCTTGAGCTTGTCGAGCACCCAGGCATACTTGAAGGACCTCTTGTTCATCTCAGCAGCTTCCTTCTCGAACCTCTCAATGACACGCTTGTCAATACCTCCAAGCTTGTAGATGAGGTGTCCGGTGGTGGTAGACTTCCCAGAGTCGACATGGCCTATGACCACAATGTTGATGTGAACCTTCTCTTTACCCATGCTGAATGTTCAAACTGCAGCACACCAGACTAATTTGTGAGAAGAGATACAAATCAAAAGCACAATGGAGCTCTAACAAGGTCAGCAGATGAGAGAATCATCTCCATGAGTGCTAAGATAATTTTTCAATATAGGAATGTCTGTTTTCATGGAGAGAACTGCACTCAGGAAGTGTCATTAATACATCAAATTCTATTTCAGAAATAACATTAGTAACAGAAAGATATAACAAAAGCAAAGAGTTCCAAACAAAAGGCATCAAGCATAAATGTCTCCTTACACCCAAATCAGAGATCTTCAAATCAAGAATTTAGAACTACTCATATTCCATGGCACACAGGCGGAATGCTCAACACATGCAACAGCAGGAGTCAATTCAAAAAATAAATAATCAAGCACTCAACAACCAGATCAATAAGCATATGAATGGTATAGTGAACAGTATCATTTGAAACCTATGAAAGATGAATCCCACACAGTGAAACATTAAACATAAAGGCCTCCATGCATCCAAATCAGAGATCTTCAAATAAACAATTAATAATTACCCATACTGACAGGGAGCACAGTACGATAGATCAACATATACAACAACAGGATTCAATTCAAAAAAACAAAACTCAACAAACAGATCAACAAGCTATGAAAATCCGGATCCAAACAGATTCATATCATGTCTTCACGTCTGATTAGCATATAGCTAAACAATTATCTTAAAACAACTTAATCCAAACAAATATACACCAGAAATGCAAAGATCAAAGGACGTGCATAAACAGAGAGATCGATCGGCCAATAAATTCTAGAAATGCAGAAACTAGACCAGCAAATACAAATACGAATTAAACAGCATACCATGACACTAAATGAACGAACGGTGATTAAAGAAAATAATTCTTACCTTTGGATGTGATGAATACGAAGTGCTCACTCGCTGGCTGCTGATAGAGCGCTTGCGAAATGAGAAATGAAAGAGAGGGATCTGTTAACAATGAAGACATATATATATATATATGTGGAATCAGATGGATTAGGTCAATTAGGGTTTATGTTGAACCGTTGGATCAAATGATCGAACGGATAGCATTGAGGAAATGTTTTTTACTAATAGCCAAAATATTTGGTTGGATGATGGCTCGTACACTCCGCCGTTGTGCGTCTAGGTTTTGCGTTATTAATATTCTAAATCGCGTAATTTTTTATTTTAATTTTAGTTGTCGGTTCTTCACATCTTGTTAAATTACCATTACCATTTGCCTTTTTTAGTCAATTATAAAAAAATATTATTATCTATTTCACTTTTATTTTTTCACCACTCAAATTCTTGTATAATTTTTAAATTAAAGCAATAATTATTATATATATTCCATAAAATTTGTTATTTTTTCACTTATATATTTATAATTATTAATTATTTCTCTATGGCATCATAATATTTTATTTGTTATTCATCTCATCGTTTAATAATTGAAAAATTGCCCATTCTTCCATTAATTATTGTACCAACTATTTTCTTCATTCATAAAAGCCATATTCAATGACTATAATTGTTAGTTATATTGAGTTTTTCGCAAACATATCTCGATTTAGTAAATGAAATTTTTAATTCATTTATTTAAATGAATCAAATTTGAACAACTAATTCACAGATTTATTAAACTATCTCAACAGAATCATTTGTTTGTAAATAACTCGTTTAATTTTATTCTCATTTTTTTATATACTTCAAACAAACAATTAAATTGAACATCTTCGCAAACGTATGGATCGTGTTAAGTTTGTTAAACAAGTTGGGCCAAATTAATTTCTAATGTTGCTATTTGAAGAGTAAATGTTTACTCCCAACCCAACCCTTAGGGGCATTTTTGTTGGGCTCAAACGAGCCCATAGCATAAAAGTCAATTCACGTAAATGGCCAGAGCCATTTAAATTATTAGTATTATTATTAATTGCAATTTTAAATTATTAATTCTTGTCCAAGTAAGCTCTGTATCCTCTGAATTAATTCCTCTCCAAGTTAGAGCTCGATTAAAAAGCCGTTCTCTCTATCGGAAAACAGTGAACATCTTTCTGATTTTTTCTCATCTTCATTCCCATCCAAAGGTGAAATTCGTGCCCTCTTATTTATTTTTGGAATTTAGATTTATATAATTTGTGCTGTCCGATTGATTACTCAGCTATCGTCCCCTTTTCGGTCTGTGATTTCTCGTCTTTTTTTTTTTTTTGGTNGATGTGTATCTTGCTACTGTTTTGTTTAGCTATAATCACTTTTGTGGCATTTGATCGAGCATTTATTGTACTGAAGTTGAAGGGGGCAAAATTTGGCCTGCATCTGATTTCGAACCTTAGCTTGAATAGGGGGACAATAGATTATTCTGATTAAGTGAAAGAGCAAAGAATATTGAGCTAAAGATAAATTTCGGTATTGTATTTATTTCATTAGTACTTCATATATGCTTTAAGAACAGAGGTTATGTTGTTGATGATGGTTTTCTGTTTGGGCTTAGGTCGTGTGAGATGTCGAAAAGCGTTATTTTGGGACAATATGTATGAGTTTATAGGTGTAGTCTGATTGAGCGCCAGACTGTTGATATGATAACTCGGGACATGCTATCAAGCTGGCAATAATATATATATGTATGCTTCCCGAGAGATTGGTTTAATCTTGGATAATGAATCGCCTTCTTTCCTTGTAACATTTGGTTTCGATAAATAACTCTTTTTGATGTGTAGTTCATGATAATGTCTTCTCAATGAAAAACTTATGTAATTAAAAGTTTCATATTGTTCATTTCCTAGCCAGTTTACAGATATCTTTTGTCCGCCATCTCTGTTTGTACTTTTTTTCTCTACTTGTATCGTTTGGTTTCGAAAAGTAACTTTTTTTTTTATGTGCAGCTCGTGATAATGTCTTCTCATGAAAGACTTATGTAATTAAAAATTTCATATTGTTAATTTCTTAGCCAGTTTACAGATACTTTTTGTTCGCCATCTTCACTTGTGTTTGCACTTTTCCTTTCCCTTCCATTCCAGCTTATCTAATGTCAAAAAAAAAAAAAAAATGGGTTGCTAAATGTTTTCTTAGGTAGTAACCGAAAAATGGCAACTGAAAACGAGAAAACGCCAGCTCAATCTCCGGCTTCAGCTGTGTCTTCATGCCGGAAGAAGAAGAACGAAAGTGCCACTTTCTTGGAAGATGTGAGGGACCACATTGATGAGTTCATACACGCTTCTATGGACGAACACAAAACTTGCTTCCAGAAGACAATTAAGAAGGTTCTTCTTTTTCGAGATTCACCTTTATTAACATTAAAAAACAGAATATGAATTTTGCTCTTTTTGATTGCTCATATGTATCTATCTCATTTACACACTTGCTGCTTTCCTCAGATGTTCGGCATGTCCAAAATTGTTGCGGAAAGGAGTTCGGAGACTAAGGAAGTGGAAAGCATTCTGCCTCTTCAGACGACCGTAGCTAAGTAACATGCCTTGATTTTGTGTCGATTTAGCTTATGACTGAAGTGGAGTTTTTTAGATATGTGAATTTGTGACATTTT